AATTGGACACTTTGACAGGAATTGGCTAGGTTTTGTAATACCCGCCAAGATGCCTACAGGACAGCAGAGCATGAAGCCACTGGATACACTCCAGCAAAGCTGATGTTTGGTTGGGAACTTCGGTTGCCAGTGGATCTGATAACAGGATGCCCACCTTACGAGGAGTTGCCTGAAAATGTGTCAGAGTTCGTGAAAGTGTTATCAGAAAGGATGGATGATATTCACCATCAAGTGTGTTCCAACTTGAAAACGTCTGATGATTCCATGAAGCTATGTTATGATAAGAGATCTACTGAAATCAGTTTTGTACCAGGAGACAAGGTGTGGTTGTATAATCCCAGGAAGGCCAAAGAGAAGTCTCCTAAGTTGTCTTCTCCATGGGAAGGCCCATATCACATAGTGGATCGTCTCTCAGACGTGACTTTCCGAATAAAATGTGGTCAGCGAGGTAAACCAAAGGTGGTGCATGCCAACAGGCTTTGGCGTTATCATGCTCCAGGTCATTTCAGTTGCAAAGAAGCGAACAATGGAACAAATGATGCTGCTGAAGTCGTGTTACTTGAAAAAGCCACTGTCGAGAATATTAACATAGGTAACTGTATCTAAAATTTTGTTGCTTTTGAAAACTAACATTTTTGTCTAATACAGTGACACTGCTACATTTTAATTATAGTATTTTGGCACTTGTGTATAAAGTTAAAATCATAAATAATATACAACATTAAACTGGTACTCAATTTAAAAACAAAACAAATTGTGTACCAGTTTAACGTTGAATATTATTTATGATTTTAAATGCTACATTTATATGAGCTGAACATAAAATGGACTGGCTGGTCTGGATTGCAAGTAGCTACCTTTGATGCTTGATACATTAAGAATGACTGAAATAATAATTTGAGTAATAATTAATATGTATTTATTACTTTATAGATTTAATATATATTTGTTGTTACTTTATTAACAGTTTTACGCTTATACTGTGAGGTAAAAATGGCTACTGCTATGATTTTGTCTGGTTTATCAGCTCGATAATTTAGGATCTTCTTTTTAATAAATTCTTGAAAATGTTAAAAAAAAAGAGAAAGAACGGGGGACCAACAAAAATGTTTGCCCCAGAGCCCGTGCTGGCTCTCGAAATTCCTGCTGAGAGACATGAAATAAATAACAAAATTAAATTTTCATATAATAATAGGTAATGGTCATATTTAAAAAATTGTATTTTTTGTGAAACTGCAGAAAAAAGTTGATTTTATTAAATATTATACACAGCTTCTAAGCTCTTTATATACAGAATGTGTAAATAAAAGCAAAATCCTAAAAGCTATACTTTTTTGTGTCTGTGTTTTGTGGGATGAGGATGGGGTAAGTGGATTTTTCAAGCAGTTTGTTCCCTGGGCAAGAAGTTATTTTCAAAAGTTTCACACACCTGAAAACAAAAACTTCATATATATCTATGTTTTGAAAGAAACATTATACACATTACTTAGTTTTATATGCTGAATGCTTGCAAGATCATCAAAAAAAAGTCAGAATATGTTCTTGACGGTTAATAATTTTTTGTGTTTTATTCAGATTATGGTGAACATTGTAAAAATAAATTCTCAAATTAGTAATGTATTCTTATTTATCTTTCTAAAAACATTTATGATGTTACTGTGACTAGTACAACTTAAGAAGAAAGAGTATTATAAGTGCTTTACTGGAATACACCACAAAATCTGATGAATTTAGGGTGCTATTTAGGGTACTTTAAAATGCTTTGAGTTTATTATAAAAACATGTAAATGTACTTAAACCAAGTTATTTAAGTGAGCTAATAAACTCAGATTTTAAGTGACCAGACTCCGTTAGCTAAGTGTAGTATGGTATAAAATAAATGACAGCTGAAATATCTTGAATAAATCTTTCTGGCTAGAAATGCAGAATGTACTTATCAAAATGTATTAACATTTTAGCAATCATTCATATATGGCTAGTAAGGTTTACCTGCTTAAAGCCAGATTAAAAAAAACAACACCAGCTAGCATATGTTATTAGCTAAAATCTTCATAAGTGATTATTTCTTACCTTCCTGCAATCATTCATACTTGTCTAGTAAGGTTTACTTGCCAGATTAAAAAAAACAACACCAGCTAGAATATGTTATAGTTAAAATCTTCATAAGTGATTATTTCTTACCTTCCTGCACGACATTCCTGCAATCATTCATACTTAGTCTAGTAATTTTTACTTGGTTAAAGCCAGGTTACAACACCAGCTAGCATATGTTATAGCTAAAATCTTCATAAGTGATTATTTCTTACCTTCCTGCACGACATAGATCGCCAAACTGTAACAATCGAAAAATTTTCAACAGCACAACTTCGGGTAAGTTCTGTGCTATTTCCATTTCTGCAATTATTTCTGGTTCACATAAAAAATCTCGTAAATTTCCACCTAAAAAAGCTTACAGCATGAAGCAAGTCTCATCATAAGGAAAGGTGGAAACCTAGATGAAACAAAACAACAAAGTGATAAAATTAAGTAATTTGTACTTTAGGGAATGTAATCATTTCTGGTGTCACATCATAAAAGAATATATTCTAGAACTCTTAATAAATTTCTCAAAGTATACAACTGATTGAAATATTACTGAAATCACAAACAAATACCATTTTTGCCAATTAAATTGTTTAGGAGAGGTTTTTTCTAAATATTACATCAACATATTTAACACTGATTTTTGTACTATTTCTTTACTTGATCCATAGCAGACATTGGCAGGAGCAGGAGTAGTTTCTGGTAGATTCAAAACAAGTAAAGCCACAGAAATCCTTATCTTACCCAAGTTAGTAACTTCAGAGTTCTATACGAGTGAATAAGTTACAAAAGAATATCAATGTTTCATTGACAGTAAATATATTTCTAAGACATTGGTACACATACGTTATACTTCTATACAGGTGTGTCATTCTTCTTAACTAAGGTAGAATTCTGATACTTTGTTTTTATATTTTCCACTGTACTTTAAATTTTTAAATAACTTTTGCTGTTTCTCAGTTTAATTTGAACTCAGTTGTTTGTGTGTTCCTAATGTTAAAAACAAATCTAAGTGTGATTCTGGGGCAGTGAGCTTTCACATCACATATATAAAAAGACCATTATAAGTTGAAAGCTTTTCATAAAGTTAAGAGGACACCATATATCTAAAGTAATAATAAAAAAATTAAAGAGGCCAACATTCAAGGGTAAATCCAAAATCTCTTTGCCATACAATCCCAACATGGCCAATTTTGACACCTGAACAATAATGAAAAACACAAAAAAAATCTAGGACTTGATTTCCATCAGACTTTGTTTTTATTTCTGTTTTTGTTTATGCAATTTTACATGCTGGAATATATCTACATGTTTCCTGACACTGTACAGACAGTACATGTAATTTATATTACCTGTCATGCTACTTAAAACTGACTTCCCAGCACTTTTTGGTGCCAAAAACATAGGAAGTTTTTTAGTATGAAATATAGGAGTTGTAGGCAAATGGCTTAAAATATAGGAGGTTTTGGCACGTCAAATGCTGCAACTTGGAAAGTTAGCTAAATAGTCTATGGTTATGTATGCATATTTTGAACAAATAACAAAAGCAACTTTATGTCTAACATAAATGAAACAAAATGGCCTCCACCACCCGTTACGACCATCACATCTCAGACTTTTATTACAAAATCAGACGGGTCTAAATAATTTCACAGTATAAACAGATTTGCACATTTCCACTTTAATGACACATAAATTTAATTTTTTTGGTATTAAAAAAATGCTTTATTCTATGAAATTAAGAAACAAAAACTTACATCCCTTTTGATGTGACACTTTGCATAAATTAACATAAAACAAAATATGAACATAATACTGATATTCTTTAAATTAATTACAGTAACTTTATACACTGTATAATATGCAAATGCATATTAGATAGGGAGTATTTAACATCAGCATTGCCATGAGGAATAATGAGACTAGCTTTTGTAACATTAAGCAAGTTATGGAAATTCAAGCTTCCATTCAAGGTTTTCAAACACACAACTTGAACCAAGTTATGATCCACTCTTCCATTGGTCTCAAATGCTGTCTACATCTATGTCATGATCATAGCTTTTCCACTCATCACTCAGTGTAGCAGCATCAACATTTTGCTTCAGTCGTTGAGCTAGCTCAGCTCTGTCAATCCTGTTTTGTACAGCCTTCTTCTTTGAGGATTTAGGCACTTAATGTTACATTTTACTGTATTGGAGAATGGCAACTTTCTGGTAAAGTGTCCAGTGTCTGCCTCAAAAAATACTCTCATACTGAGAAGTGCCAACTTAGTTTGGGGTTCTAATAAAGTATCCACTGCAGTTTTCACTAGATCTATATTTATCAGTTGGAAATCTGGGAGTTGGTTTTTCTACATACATCAATTGTGTGGATCATGTTTCCATTTTCCTCAATGACACTGAGTTTGACAAAAGTGGCCACTAACTTCTGTAGAGTGTCATTCATTTCATCGTCATTCTAACATTGTCAAAAAAAGTATTTTTGTGGCAATTTTTTTGGCTTATTAGCTGTCAGTTTTGATTGAACAAATAGAAAATAAGAAATGGTGAGTATTCAGTGATTGTATATGGAGCTAATTGGTGTTCACAATGGTGCTAACATCAGCTCTCGGACAAGAATAAACATTCTAATTAAGATTTAGATTTTTAATTTTTATAAATTTATAATCAAATTAAACTTAAATTTCGGAATTAAATTTGAATGTTAATGTACCGTATAAAATTTCAATAGTGATCTATAGATCTATATCCTGGTATGTGATCAGTCTGGACTGTGATATCACCACAATAAACATTGTCTCTCATTGCCTTTGTTTTTATTATCAGACTGTGGACCCTCTTAAGAAGTTGGATTTTGTGCCAATTCCAAGCTGATCACATTATTCTGGTCACCAATACTCGAGTCAATTTTGACACGGGGATTGGCAACATGCATGTTGTCTTGACATGCATATTTTTTAAACTCATGCAATGGAGTCTATGGCAATATGAGCATCTTGTTCACAGTCTGAAACAACAGAATCAAATTCATCTTTCAAAATACCACACTACACATGTGTGCACTCTTGTTTGACTTCCGGCATGGACCACGCTACCACGTTTACAGTTTCGACTAAATACCTGTCATTTCTGCCTTTCGACCAATGGACTCTTTTTCAGAAATAGAGTGAAATCATATGTATGTGCAAAAAACAAGTTCAAGGGTGGGGGATTTCAGTTACTAGTCAGTCTGGGCTAAAAAACAATGCTCATGTTCTTTACATCTGTCTCTGTATGCACGCAGACGAAGAATCTGAAAAGACATTATATGTGGTTTTGTGGATAAAATAGTAATCTAATTTTGTGTCTTATTCAGAGTCTGAGCCAGTATAAATCTTGATACAATGTTTAATATACAAATCTGCCTTACAAAAGTAAGAACAGAAAGACAACCAAATCCATAAACACACTATATTCAGGTCAGAAAATTCTGAGAATGGATCATAATCGGTTAAAGCCAAGCCAGTCAATCTAACACTACTTTTGTTAAGAGCAAAATCAGACAAAAAAGTAGCTTTTGTTTCAAAAATGAACAGATCTATATACTTTAATGAATTGGCATTTCATGATGTGCATAGATTATCATGATGATTAAAGACATAAACAACCAAGTTATTCAATGGTGCATATTGGTGTTACACACTAGTAAGTCTACATGCATTCTGTTTTGCATGTTATCTAGCACTACACGTACACCTGTTTCATCACTGCTATGCAATATTTTTTATATAATGAACATGATCTTGAACCATAGATATGCTATCTTCTGTCATATCTGAGATGTTTACACTCGCACCATTCATAGAAGGATTCTTCATGGTACAAATCTTCCAGATATAGGAATATATATATATATATGAAAAAAGGGCAAAAATATAGGAATTTAAGTCTATTTTCAAATCTATAGGAATCTGGGCCAAATTACAGGAGATATAGGAATCGCTGGGTAATAACTTAGGTAGAGGATTAACTTCAAAAGGTGATGTGATGAAGTTTTTATTATTCAAAGGTCACATTAATGCAGAACTCTGCATTATATAAGCATGAACTTTTGATAAAATGCTAAAAATAATGACACTGCATTTCTAAAATCCAGGTGTAACAAGTCCTACTGTTTTATATTGCCAAGTATTTTTTATGTAATGTTGAAAATGTTCTGCTGCCTGAAACATCCTCTTGAAGAAAAACCAAAAATACCCAGATCTGTATATCCAAAAGCTATAGTAGCTTGGTATCAAAGAGTGAATTAGCCTTTTGTTAGGCCATACTCTCCAGTAGAGAATTTAAACAATATTATCACTACAATAAAACTAATGTTATCTGATGAGACTCTGACTTTTCTTATTACTTATTCACTATTAAGTTTAAGCTTTTTAAGGTAAAGTTATAATAATTAAAACCTTTATATCACAAATATATTAACCTTACCTTAAATTATTTAGGTTACTTTAGGACTTTATGGTTGACACTGATCATTCCTGAGCATTACATTACTATTGTTGAAGTTTTTGAAAATTTGTTTACAGTGTTACACAGCTAATTTGTAAAAAGTTGATACCATCATCATCATCATTAAAACAAACATCACATATGCTAACATGGAGAAGTTAACATCTTTCTTATTTCTGATATGGAGTTACCTCCTCCCACACAAAGCTATCTCAATCTTCTTCTACCCTCTAAGCATTGGTAAAATATTTTGACAATCAACACATCAGTTTATATACCCCATCAATTCTGCATCATTTCTGAACACGTATATCTATCACGTGACTACTCTCCACCAATAGTATTGTACCACCTATATTGACATTGCTAGCTCCCTCTGCTATTCCCACCCAATCCTTACTTTTAAGAATTGGCAGCCTGTAAGAGAACAACACTGGCTGTGGAAAGGAAGGGTAGAAACTGTGTGAGAGAGATAAATACATTTTCAGAGGAAGACAAATGTTAACTTTCAATACAGTCTTAATTCCGCTAACACAAAGCTAAATCCCACATTGCAAAAGTGGAGGGACTGGTGTAGAGGCACGACATAGAAAATAAGCAGAAAATGACCACTCAGAATGAATGAGTGTGCTCCAAGATGAAATGGAAGCACACACGTGGGGTACCATGCTACTTCTTGAACAGGTTTGCTCTTTGCCTTTGAAGTAGGAAATGAATCTGATACGGGTGGAAAAAACAAGGATGTGAACAAATGCAAGTCATTCTGAGAGGTGCAATCCAAAGTAAAATATATATTTCTAAACTCAGTCTGGAGGAAGCTTCCAAGGTCCACCACACCAGTGACTGGGAATTTGGAAGTGGTAAGGACTCCCGTGCTCCACTGGTAGAAAAAGGGTGTGTGAGTGTGTGTGTGGAGTCTGGAGGAAA